GAAACTAAAATCTACATCCACAAATCCTTCCTTATGTGCAATTGTTTTGCAAAGATCTCATTAGTAGCAATCCACATGAATAGTCCTGTATAAAAGGTAGCCTCAGCACTACAGCTGAAATAGCAATTCTGTATTGTTAGATTCTGCATTGTCCTCTGTATCAAAATTTAAAGGAATTTTCCAAATGTATATGGAATGCATGCTTGAAAAATGAACATGTGAGAAGACTTGGGTAATGCAATAAACTTTCTGTAAAAATAAAAATAAAAAATCTGTACTCACACATAGGAAATACCTGCTCAGTCTGAAATGACATAAATAAATAAATAAATAAATAAATATTTGGGAAGAGTGAATTCATGCTTTCTTCTGCACACAAAATAAAGAGATTCCATGAGAAATTTAGAAATGAGAACCAGTAACCTAGCCTGTTGGCAAGAAACAGCATCAACGTGATTACTAAGTATCCTCTGCAAGGTTGGTACCATAGGTGGTGAGCCAGATGGCAGCCACAAGGAAGAGCAACCTCTGCCATGCCAGCTGAGATAACAGATAAAGCCTGACAGCAGTGTTCCTCCTAGGTGGCTGAAACAGAATGTACAGAACCTGTTAGCAATCTATTTAGCTGAGATCAATATTTGAATAGCAATTCAAGGGTAGCAAATGGCTAAAAAGCCATTGCATACTCTTTAGTAATTTTCACTAAATGGTTCAGCAGTGGACAGAGCAGGTTTTGAGGTTAGTACAATGACTCTACATAGCATTGCTATAAAAAGGCAACTCCTGGAAAAGGAGTTGACCGGACAGACTAGCCAATGCTTCCATTTTCTCTCAATGAATTTTTTAGTGCATGCGCTTGATGCTTTTTATGCGTCCTTAAAATATACTGACATCCTTTTGTCTACTTTTAAGACTGTATACCTTTGTCTCACATTGCTATAATTAGCTCACTTCGCAACATGTTTTCCACAAGCAACATCAACCTCATCATTCCAGAAAGCTACTAATGGAAGGACTATTGTACTAAGTTGAATTCACTGAAAAGTTTTATTTTTATTTAAAAAAAAAAAAAAACAACAAACAACAACAACAACAAAAGATATTCTGTCTTTTCTAAAAGAACTGTGGGATATCAGACCTTTTGCAGTGTAGCAAATTAGCAAATGAACAAAACAAATTACTTGGACTATCAAATTACTTTTCAAACGTATCCATCTCTGGAAGTGCTATGACAGCATTTTCTCTTTGCCTATCTTTTGCACATAAATATATGCTGTTGCAATTACAACCTAGGAGAAAGGAAGTAAGGCAAGCACAACATTAAGACTAATTCAGCAGAACTTTTCATCATGGGCATAAATTCCTCCCTACTCAGCAAAGTTTTCAAGCATATGATTAACTTGGAACACATGTTTAAATTCCCATCAACTTCACTGAGGTTCTGTGTAAGCAACAGCGGCACGCACCTAAATGCTCTGCAGAATTGGGTCCTGGGGAAGAAGATAAAGGAAACAGAAACATAAAATCTCCATCTCAACAGACTTTTACTCTTAAGGTATTAAAATGCACACATTCCACAGAAGCAAAGGTTATCCATCAACAGCAAAACTCAACATGAGAGATCAAGACCCTGTCAGCTCAAGTACACACCAGAAGAATATACTCCAGCTTTGTATGTAAGCCATGTTCTCTGATGGGCAACTGAGATCTGCAGAAGGCCACAGATATGTACCTCACCAGTGGAAGAAATAAAACAAATTAAAAAAAAAAAAAAAGAAATAGGAAACGTAAGATAAAATGCTTGATCCATACTTTTCATTAAGAAAATGAGCTTTTTGAAAAATTTTAATATGAAGACAAAAGGCTGCTTTTACAAAATGTTTCTTGCATAAATTTAACACAATCACATACAAGATTACCACATTTGCAGTTTTCAAGAGCCAGACAGACTAAATAGCCAGCCCTGACATAAAAGGTTGTCATGTTCACTGAAAGCACTGCAAGTCCTACCAGGGCTGAATTTGGCCCATTCAATCTATTTTCCATAGTAATGTCCACATGCCAGTGTTCACAGTAGCTGGGAACTTTTCTATTAATATTCTTTCTTGCAGTCTTTACTAATGATTGGAAGAAAGACTTGAAAAAAAAAAACAAACAACAAAACACACAACAATGAAAGTCAACTGACCCCTATGAAAAAATATGTAATTAACTATTTTAACTCTAACATCTAGCATTTGATTTTATGGTACAGTGTCCAATATTTTATTTACTTATTTAAAAAGAACTGTAACCAACATTGGTAGCTAAAGAAAAAAGAAGACAATTGCAGTTATTCCCTGAACAGACTGCAAGAATATGGGCAGGGCTACAAGAAAATCAAAAGCACAGTAAAAACATATATATGCCACATGCTTTCTGCCATTTCCATTGAGCTCTGCAATTTTCAGGTGTCATAGAAGCATGGACAGAGAAAATAACACAGATGAAAAAAATTACCATGTTGATCTACACCACTGTGTAATACCATTTTAAAGTCACTAAATAAAGTTAATCTCACAGAGAAAATTATGGCTATCATGCATCAGATGGTGATGTCTTTCTCTGGACCTCATAACAAGAGAGCAAAATAAATAAGAAAACCACACCAAACCAAAAAAAAATAACAACAAAACCACCCTCAAAAACAGAAATGCATTAGGAGGTAACTTTAAAAGACAGAAAACCAATCAAGGACTTATTAAATTAGTGGTCAATTGGGGTTTGCCTTTTTCCTTCAAGTATTATAAATAGTGCTAATGTTGATATATATCTTTTCAAAGCAACCGGTGGTATATGTCACCCAAAGGTATAATCACAATTACTATGCTTCCAAAGGGACAAAAGTATTTTATGCCAAGCTTGCATGCCAGTATTTCTCCAAAGCTACTTGTTAGTCACTTATACAATGACAGCTTGACTGTACTTTGTCATGATATGCTATCCACACAGTCACTGTTTTTTTTTTTAATGTATTTTTATTTTATTTATTTATTTTAAAGAGTTGTTAACATGCAAACCTGATACAGCCTCTGAAACCTCTCCCCAGGAAAGGGGAGTTTGTATTCTGGGCAGTTTCGTGGCATATTTTCCCCTGCAACGGTCCGGCTACACACTAGCTACGTGCTTCATTCACACCCCCACCCTCGTCCTATAAGGCTAAAACAGAACAAAGGTTCTACTTGTGCTCCCCGTGACAAAACCAGAATAAATTATGTCTTGCTCTGTCGTTCCAGCAAGCTGGTTAATTGCATTTGTTTCATGTATCTCCAAACAGCCTGGTACATTAATTACATTCTGTAACACCAAGCTCCTCTGATTCTCTCTGTCACTTCCACTGAGCACTTTAATTGTCTTCCTTCTAGCTATGTATAATTTTAAATGCTTACTAATAATTACATTTCTATAGCCTGATCTTTTCAGTTTGTATACAAAGGTACCTCTGAGAGGGGTGGCCTTAAAGTTGTGAATCAAAATATGCTACAGTAGGGTAAAAAAAAGAATACCCATAAAACCATGACCATGCTGACAGATGCAAATGTTCTACTATACTCTTTCACAGTTTGGACTTCCTTCTGCTTAGCATGTACATACATTAGGCAAAACCCATTTTCCTATCGGTAGACCAAACCAAAGGTTAAACTGCACAGTTTATTATGCCAGCAGAGTAAAGCACCGCTACAGTGTCTCTCCCTTCTCAGCTCTTTTGCCTCCCTACTTGCTGGGGGTGGGGGGAGATGATAGGAGGGGCAGAACTACCCAAAGCAGCCTGTAACTGCAAACAATAATCCTAGAGCCCTCGCTTAAGGGCTGACACGGTCAATGCTGCAAGCAGTAGCTTCCTGGAACAAAGTTTTTTCTCACCGGCAGAAATAGCCAGGGTCCCAGAGCCTAAACTCACCCGCAGCCTGACAGACTGCTTAGAGATGCAAATACCCGGTGGTAGGAGGGCTGCCAAACATTTGATCCCAGCACACGCACATGCAGGACCGTGCAGATGCTTGCTTTCTACTTGTGTGCTTGAGCTACAGTAATGCATTTAACGTCGATGCTGCAGAACAGCGCCAGCCCCCACTCCCAAAGAGAATTTACCCTTGCGCTGAAGTTTCCGCCCTACCAAAGCGTGCCTCCCCTAAAATGCTCCTTTATATCCCCTCAGCCACTCCCTGAACTTGAAAACTGCCAGAAGCATGGCAGAGCCAACCCAAAAGAGGAGGGGAAAGACACCAGAATAAAAAATAAAATAAAAATAAATAAGAAAACCCAGCACAACAACGCCTTTCCCCCTAGCGCTCCTACCCCTCACGACCACGCTCTCTGGGGGCAGCCCATAACGGAGGGGGGAAGGACATGGTGTCGGGGGGCAGATTAAGGCCGGGGGGAGGGCATGTGGTGTCGGGGAGACCCCCCAACCCCCCGGCCGCACCTGCCCGACCCCGCGGGGCATGGGGGTAGTGTCGTGCCGTGCCAAAGGAGGCGTTTAGGGACTCTGGAAAGTGGCCAATTCGCCTCACCTGGAGCGGAAGCACAGCTAGCCGATTTATTTCATCAGCTGGCTCTCCCGCTGGAAAGTTTAACAATAGGAGGAGGCAAAGTAACGCCAGGTACAGCGGCTCCCTGCCTCGCCGTTCTCCTCCCCGCTTCCCTACCACCACCAGCACCGCGAAATAGGAGATTTAGCACGGGGATTTTTCCCCTTCCCCGCTTCCTCAAGCCGATATTCAACCATTCCTACACTACTTTTCCATTGAGTTAGCAGATGGGAAGGGCTGCTTATTGGAAACATATTCTCCATCCCCCCACGCCCCCCCTCCCGCCCCCAAATGCCATTTTTATACCAGAAACAAAGTTAAGGCTCTGTAACGCTAAAGCTCATAATGCTGTCCATGTGCTGTCCCAAATCAGCTTCAGATGAAGGGGGATTCTGCACAGAAGGGCATAGCTAAAACAAGCCAACTTACCATAGACTTGAAAAAATGCAAATCCAACGAGCAGGAGTGGCGTCAGCAGACCCATTTTGACATATTAAAAGCAATCCCGATCGTTTGCGAGACCAATTCCACAGAGATCCAAAGAAAAGAATTAAAAAAAAAAAAAAAAAAAAGGAAAAAAAAAGTATCCAAAGCCAGCGAGACGCAGGGTCCAAAAGTTTTCAGTTTCCTAGCAGCTACTTAGAGCGGAAAGGGAAGCCTGGAAGCGAAAAGCTGCAGATGGGAAGGTCTTGAGTGTGCCACTTTTAGATCCATACAGATTAGAGCAGGGAGCGAGCTCCGAAGGCTTCTGCTTTGCACACACGCTCCTTCCTAAACTCCCCCCAATCCAGCCCGAGCAGGGGAATTATTCACGTGTGTCTAAGCCCCTCTTTAGGATCCATGGCAATCCAAAGGCCAGCTCTTTCTTCCGAGGACAAGGAGAGGCTCTGAGAGAGGACCTGATTCCTAGAAAGTGTTCCGCAAACTTCCCGGCACTTTGCAGGAAAACCATTGGCTCTGTTCGGCTATTTTGCTTGCCTCTCTCCCTCCCCCTACCCCTTTTCCTTTCTCTCTCTCTCTCTCTCTCCCCCAAATCAGTTCAAGCTGCGGAGTTTCTCACTTAACTTCCATAATAGGAACGCCTAGGCAATGTGCTACAGGAGGGACCGGCTTTCTCAGCATCCCCTGCGAAGCAAGCCGCCTCTCTCCCCTGCACCTCCCTCCTCACTGGAAACCCGAGCGGGAACTGCCGGAGGGCAGCAACTCCGCCGGGGAGCCGCTGCTGCCGCTGTGGCAGCGGGGGGCGTGCGGCTGGGGGCGCGGGGACCTCCCGGGCGGCCCCGGCAGCCCGGCGACCGCCTCAGCCTCGCCTCAGCCTCTCCCCTGCCGCCGCCTCCGCCTCCCGCCGCCGCGGACACCCCGGGCTGGCGGGGAGAGGGAGAGAGAGGGAGGAGAATGAGCGCGGCGGCTCCCGCGGCTGCCTGCCGAGGGGAGGCTGCGGGGTGGGGACTAAAGCGCTGCGCCCCGCACCCACGCGGCAGCGGCGGCGGCGGGCGGGCACCGGGCACCGGGCACGGGCTCCGCGATCGTGGGCGAGCGGCTGGGGCTGCTCCGCGCCTCGCTCCCCGGCGCGCTGGCCGGGCAGCCCCCGGGCTGGGGGATGAATAACGCCACACGGGGCACCGCCGAGCGCCCCTTCCCTCGCACCCCGTGCCCCTTCTCACACCCCTGCACCGCTGCCTCGCACCCCCCCTCCCGCCCCCCAGCACCGCCCGCTGGCGGCAGAGCCCCCGGGAAGGGGCGAGTCCCGCCGGGCAGGGAGGGAGCGCGCGGCACCGAGGGGACCCCCGCGGCCGCAGCCGTTGGCGGGCCGGCGGGGAAGCGCCGCACGGTGAAGCGCGGGCGCCCCCTACCGGCCGCCGGAGGGGAACGGCCGCTGCCTCCCGTAGCGGCGGGCGGGCGGGCGGGGCAGCAGCGCCCAGCGGCGGCCGCCTCGCCTCAGGTCGCCCCGCGTGGCCGTGGCCGTGAGGGGGGATCTGTGAGTGGGAGGAGGGACGGGGAGCCTTTGCTGCCGCCGAGAAGGTGGAAGAAGGACGGTGGCACGGAACTTTTCCAGAGAAACCCCTCAGATACGAGGGTAGTGCGTTTAGCTAGCTTATATATATATACACACACACATATACACCATATATTCACGTGTATATATATATATACACACACATATACACCACAACCATCAACGTCCCTCTTCAATATATATATAATATATAATATATAATATATAATATATAATATATAATATATAATATATAATATATAATATATGATTATTTTGGACAACGACACTAGGTAAAAATTAATCGCTGAATGAAAAGGTGAGAGTTGTGCTTTGCTGCACTAAGGGTGTGAGCAGGGCTACCTAAAGAGGAGGGAACACTTCATACGTCTTAGGCAACTAATCCAAAATATTTTTTCTTTTATCGAGTCTCTTGCTTTTTATTTTGCATGCGCTAGAAATATCTATATAATAGAGATTCTTTAAGTAAGTTCTTCATGTAGAAGATCCAAACCATATTCCTGCAAACCACACACTGCCCACGCATATGCCAATAAATGATCTGCAAGTTATTTCTTATCCAGTTGTCGTGTAATCAGTGACAAATATTGCCAAAAGTGACAGTGTGAGAGGTTTGTAGTGTTTTAAGTGCCCAAGAAGATTCTTGCTGTTCCATACAAAGCCAGCAGACACCTCCAAAGCCTCTTTATGCAAACCAGGGAACAATGTCCTCTGATACTTACAGTATGCCCAGTAGATAAATAGATATTAATATGCCTGAAGACTACCTCGTGATGAAGGCTGTAATTAAAGCTAACCATGGTAAGGTGATCAAAATGGTATTCTTTGTCTGCGTGCTTGTGAATTGGCAAAACCAGAAAACCATAAATCACCTGCCTAACAGCAATGTGTGTAATATGAAATATTAAAGAATATTTCCCTTTTCAGTGGACATTTCAAGGACACTGTTCATGAAAATGCTGGCTTGTTTATTACAGAATTTAAAATCGGAAATAGTTATGCACTGTAGAGATCTTTTTGTGCTTCTCAAATAAATTTAAGATAAATTTAATAACAGCTGATGCAGACCAGAACACTTGGTAGATGTATACAGTCTTTAAAACCCTTAGGTACAGAGGTACCTGTAAAAGGGCATAATGACTCATATAAACATTCTAAGGGAAATCAATGGGCTATTCATTATAGCTGCCTCTGTTTTATTCATTCACTTCTACAGAATATCACTTTGCAAAGCTTTGAAAAGTTTCAGCCAAATTTAATCAAGTATTTTTAAGTATAATTTTGCCTGTATTTACTTCAGCGTGTGTTTTGTTGTTGTTGTTGTTGTTTGCTTGTTTGTTTTCCTTTGAAAAAAGTTAACAGTCCTCTGAAATGGATAGCAGGGTCTGAAAGAGTTGAGAAACTGGCTTTTGTGTTGGTTACTGTTTGCTCAAATCGAGAAAATGGGGCTATGTTTGAATAGTGTGCAAAACAAAGCCAAAAAAATGAAATGTCATATGGAGATCCTGCTGGAGGGGAATAGTTGAGGTTTACATGTGTTACAGCTTACAAGCACATGACATGTCACAGATGAGAGTCACTGGCTTATGAGCATAGTTCGCTTGGAACAGCATTTGCTTCCATTATGAGATGTAGTCCAGATACAAGAATTAAAAACAGTTTGCTTCTCTCTCTTGTCTTTCAGTAACCTCCTATGAACATGGTCAACTAGACAGATGTTCTTTGCGTGAACAGCAAAGCCTCTATGGGGGAAGTGCATGTGCCAACTCTTTGTTTGGCTATGAACAATATGCCACCTGATGAAATACTTATGTAAGCAGGATGAGGAAAAGACATGTCAGTATTGGCACACATAAATCTTCAGTTCAAAGAGTGTTGTTGAGGTGGGACTTTGAAACAAGGAAATTACACGGTAAGATTGCCCTGATTCATATGAAGGGCATTCAACAAATGAAGCAGGACTAATTTAGCAAAACAACGGTAAGATCAGATATATGACAGCAGTAAAAGCAAAAGTTTCATTGCTTCTACCTTGGATTCCTATGCTAATGTATTAAAATATTTTATATGAGAATCAGATCTAGTGTTTAAAGTAAGTGTTGTAAGAGTAGTACTCTTTTCAGGTGAACTCCACCATTCATAGCATTTTTCTTCTAAACCAATAGTAAAACTTCCAACCATTTATAACATAATGTTACAAATGCATATAATATATTCTACCTGCTGGTTGCCATAAAAAAGCTTTTGTTATCCACTTAAAGGGGAGAGGATGACTTGAAATGGATTATATATAATTTATTCCAAATACTAGAGCTACTTACTCAGGAATTGCTTGAAGTGGCTAGAGATTTTTAATACCTAGTAATATGCTCGATATGTGATGGCCATTCGTGGGCCACTACTTTAAATTAGAATCTGGTCTTTTTAGATTCTGGAGTAAATACAACTCCAGAGGATAACTGAGAATATCTAATGTTAGGCTGCCTCAGAAACACAAGAACAAAAGGGGAAAGATGCTCAATACGCATTAAACTTCCAGGATAATATACTTTTTTGTTCCTCTGCCACCAGTGGCTCCTGTGCTATTCTGTTCCAGGTCACCAGGTTCTGATGTCATCAGACTACTGAATACATGATGAGAGAACAGGATTCATAGTTTTTAATCCTTATAAATGCTGAAACATGGGTGTTACTCCTGCTCCAGGCAATGGGATCTTCCATACAAAGACTGGACGCTGGAAAGTAGTTGAAGAACTCAGTCCAGAAAAAGCTGATGTGTTGGTAAAGAGAGTATAAGCACTGTAGCTAGATCTTTCTCATGGAAGGACCCTGAAAATTAGTTTTTCTGCTGTACTGGCTATCACAGGTTTGTCTAACCTCCTTTGCTAGAACAACTTCTATGGTTCATGTGGAGGAAAGAAAAATGATGGGCATGAGAGGCATATTTTTTATTCTCTATTGCACACCTATCTCTTGCAGTGCAGAGGACCACCTTCTGCTTCAATAATAAGGTTCCTGACTTCAGATTGTTCCTACAGGAATCACAGAATAACAAATTATGCAGTTGAGTTTCCCGCATTGGGGGAAATCTCAGGGGTCAGCACACTCGGAGTGCAGGGGATGAGCCTCACCCTAGGAAAACCATCTGCCTGATCATGGTGTCTCCCCTGCCAGGAATTCCAGCCAAACAACATTTAGGAACCCTGTTTTGAAACCTCCTGATCTTTGTTAGCTTCTCTGCACTATATTTAATTACTAGTACAGATAACTGTTCACCACAATGATCTGTACTGTTGGTAAGTAAATATTTTGTAAATTAAATTATTACAAGTTTTTTGATATACATCATATGCTCCTTTTAAGTTTTGCATCCACAGCTCATTAAATGTGCAAAAGCTGGTAACAGAAAGATGATACGGATTCCTGACAATTTTAAAAACAACCTCACCTAAAATAAATTCTACTTGATTCTTTTATTTTTAACTGAGATTCAGAGTAGGCAATGAAGCACAAATATTTATATGATAGTTAAAATGTTACCATGTAAAGATTTTGTAGATCGTATTTTCTGTTTCTTCTACGGATGTACTTTTACTGCCCAAAGAAAAAGATAGCAACTCACACTTTGCAGCTCAGTAAAAAATTCAAGAAAGTAGAGAAATAATACATAGTTTAAAAAAAAAAAAAAATGGACTAAATAAAAACAGGGTCAGATTTCTTCTTTCTGGGGGCAGAGGACAGAGTTGAAAGTCAAGCTTTTCTAATCTAGCCGTGACATTCATAAAACAATTGATAATTTTACTGCTGCGTGAAACACGTCTATGTTTTTCTTTTGAGAAAAATATGGCAGCACACCATCCTTTGATATATCCAGAGCTGGGATTGGAAAGATTAACATCTTTATAGTAAAGGACCAAGAACAGTACATTAGAAATACATGACTTACTATAGTAGTGGCTGAATCTCAGAACCTATAGTGTGAAGACTACAATGCCTGTCATAATCATAGGCACTAAAACTGTTTCAAAGTTGTTGTGATTGGTATGGACTTGTATAGACTTGCATAGAGCAGATGGAACCAGACTGTTTTCAGAGGTACATGGGGATGGGACAAGAGGCAATGAACAGCAGCTGCAATATGGGAAGGTTCTAGTTAGACATCAGGAAACAAATTTATTATTATTATTATTATTATTATTATTATTATTATTACCATGAGGACAGTGAAGCAGGTGCCTAAGGGGGCTGTGGAGTCACCATAACTGGAGGTGTTAAAAACTTAATCAGACAATGATACAGACATTGAAGTTGAGCCTGCTTTGATTTGGATTAGATGATATCCAGAGGTCTTCTGACTAATTTTCTAAAGTTCCATGATTCTATGACAAGCATTACTGGCAAAGTTCTGAACATGCATGTCCTCTTGTTTGACAGTGAATAACAAGGTCTTTTGTTCGAGAACTATGTGCTAAAATGTCCAGTTGTCCAAACTTCTCTTATAAAATCATGTAAAACTGCACACGCAAGCTACAAATACACAAGCTACAAAATAATTGCTTGATTTTTCTCTGATTTAAGCCATTTCTGTTGCAATGCTAGAAGCCTTTCCTGAGTGACTCCTATGTAGACTACACAGTGAATATTACAGGAATAGCTGATCATTTCTTGCTTTCTTGCAATTAGAAACACTTCCCTTTGCAACTGCAGTATGTAAAAATAATAATCTTTTACCAAGTGTGGTAAGTTGCACAAAAACCTTATGGCTCTCCCTACGTTGCAGGCTGTAGCAGGGGTTCATTATTTGCGGCAGGACACAGTGGGTCCCTTCCAATCTTTACACAGACTATGTCTAGCCATGTCTAGCATATCCTATGTGTCAGGGATTTCCTCTTACACAATAGTATTTCCACAGTATCAGTATGGCTCTACATCTCCCATTCGTAACAAAGAATGTGAGTATTCCTGCCTGGTACGTAAGGATCTTCCATTCCCTCTCTCACATACAGGACTGTGTAAGTCATGCATGTTTAACTAATGAAGGAAAAGTCAATTACTATATATGATGTTTTGAGATAAAGTGCCAGCCTACATAAATATGGACATCAAAGATATACTCTGTCAACTACAAATACAATAAGACTCCAAGAATTATTTCACTTATTCATTTGATAATGTAGTGATCTACTCACTCATTATTCTTTATTAAAAGTTAACAAACTCTGCCCTCATTTACATACAAGAAAATAAAACCATTTCTAATTGACAGGTTAAGTTTAATTTTAAATGACAATTTAGATTTCCAGAGGGCGTAAGACAGACGTATCATTTAAAAAAGCACATTCTAAATGAAGAACTGGAAGAGGATAAGATCTCACCTTGTGTACATGAGAGTTAGAAAGGTGAAGTTCTCAGAAAAGGAATGTATTCTATCACAGTGTAATCAGACACATTCATACACCAATAAGTATAATTGCTCCACCCTCATCCTGGTTACAGCTAGGATAGAGTTAATTTTCCTCCTAGTAGCTGGTAGGGTGCTATGTTTTGGATTAGGATGAGAAGAGCATTGATAACACACTGATGTTTTAATCATTGCAGAGCAGTGCTTACACTAAGCCAAGGACTTTTCAGCTTCTCACTCTGTCCTGCCAGCGGGCAGGCTAGAGGTGCAGCAGGAGCTGGGAGGGGACAGACCCAGGACAGCTGACCCAAACTGGCCAAAGGCCAGTTTGATTCCATACCATATGGCATCATGCTAAACAATATATAGGGATAGCTAGCCGGGGTGGGGGGGCTGGCTGCTCGGGGATGGGATGGGCATTGGTCAGCGGGTGGTGAGCAATTGCATTGTGCATCACTTATTTCATACACACTATTAGTAGTAGTACTATTATTATTATTTATTTTTTTCCCCGTCTTAATAAACTGTCTCTACCTCAACTCACAGGCTCCATTTTCCTTGTTTCTCTCCCCCATCCCAGAGAGGGAGGGGGAAGGGTGAGTAAACGGCTGTGTGGTGCTTAGCTGCCGGCTGGGTTAAACCACAACAACCCTGAGCTTGAAGGAACAGAAAATCAAGAAATACAGCAACACAACATTTATAGCTGTACACAATACACAAGTAACTGTTAAACTAAACACCATGCTCCTATTTAATTGTATTATAAATAACATGCTAATGCTATCATTAAGTGACATATGTCACATTTTCAGTAACAACTGCATATTGACAGCCAGCAACATTAGTCAACAATATTTACACTTCAATTACAGCTTTTAAAATGGAAATATGTAACTATATATGTACACAAGTTGTTAATGGGGCAGAAGTTCGTACAAGGAGATCCATATGTGCATGTCCATTTTGCAGATACCCATTTGTAAGTGGGCAAATATTCTTAATGATAAGAAGTTTAATAGTATAGGAAACAAGATTTATGATGTCATTAATAATTCACCTTCATCTTTCAAGAAGAGCAGTACTGAAAATTCTAATAGACACAAACCAGTTGTCTTTTGATCTTAAATGATTTTTGAATTTAGTTGGATTTTATAGCTATGATCTATAGAAGTCAGACTACTGAATTCCCTTTGTTATCTCTGGCCTTCATAGTGTCAATGGCATGGATAGGTTATTGCTTAGCATGATTTCTGCTGCACTGAAGTCCTCGATTGTAATCATATATTAGTCAAACCAGGGACCTGTTGTGGTACCACAGAGCTGCTGATTTATGAAGATGTCAGCTCCTGAGAATCTGGTCCATCGCTATGGAGGCAACCCTAACCGTATTAGAGGCTCTTGCGTGTTTCTACCAGTGGGTTGTAATGTTCCCATCAGGCTATGATTCTTTCTTGCAATATGGTGCTGTCAACACTATTCTCATCAGTTATACATATCAGTGGATTATTAACAATATTTGTCAGACTTTTATATTAGTTTTGTCCCAGAACAGCCTTGCCTCACTTCAACAATAGAATTACATTTTGCATTGTCTGAAGAAATGCTTTTAAATTAGAATTGATGTTTCAGTCATACGATTTTTCACTGCTGATGTAATTTATTTTTCTAGCTAAATTTTTGTTTGAGTATATGACTTATTCTTTAAAAGTGTGATCCTATTAAAGGCAGCTGAAGCACAGAGAATTCCCTCAGCAGAATTTGGGCTAATGCCCTTTACATGCATGATAGACTAAGTGAGTGGCCAAGACTGCCATAAACTTCAAAAGTAAGTTGAAAAGAAACATATAAAAGGAAAAAAAAATCCTCAAGCCTCAAAAACTTCTCCTTAAAGAGTATGCACTTAATCAAAATGACAAATAAACAAGTACAAATGTAAACACCAAGTATCCTATGTCATCACTAAAGGAACTACAGTATTTTGTATATTTTGCTGTTAAAGCTATTATAGGATTTAATTGCTTAAATTGTATACAAAATCTCCAAACTTTTACCAGGAAAATATGTGGGAATGTTTTTTCTCTATGCTGCATATCCCATTGTACTGGAAGCAGCTGTGCCAGTACACCATTCCTATAAAACCAATAAAAGTGTATATGCAAAGGGGCCAGCTCAGAACACAGAAGCAGAAGCCAATGACTCATTTTAATGTCCGTCTCTGAACTGAAACACAAAATAGTAATTACCTCAAAGCTGCTTACTGCCACAGCTAGGAAGACTCTTTCACATTTAAAGTGCACTACACACATAACAGAAAATCTCATTTTTTCTCACTATACAGCTTACTATATTGTAGCTGATGGTGGAATTTAGCACGTTTCAACCTAAGTCATCAGTTCAGATCTTGCTCATGCTGATGATGACCAAAAGTTATTACTTGTTTCCCAGCTTAAATTATTTTAGAGTCAGCTTTCTGAAGACAAGAGAAACAAATTGTAAGCTTATCTTTCCCAGACAATCAGCCATAGTTCAGCTTTCTAGGACAACCTTGAAAAGAATGGGGTATTTTGCACTGCCACGGCCCAGAAAGTACTTATCTTGAGAGTGAAGAAAGAGTTGGGTTTCAACAGCAACTACCACAATGAGATCCTGTAGCTAGGTCTGTGTATCTATGAACTTCTGTAATATAAATAGTAATATGTCAGTGGGATTTAATTACATGCTGAAAAATTTTCTAAAGGAAATGAGTCTTCTGTGATTCTTCAAAAAGTTATGTGAAAAAT